TACAATTTTTATTTAAATATACAAGCATTATGATGTAATTTTAGCTATTTTTATAACTTTTAGATAGAAGTTAATAATACAAATTACAATATTACTGAGATATGCTCAAGTACTACTATTACTATAATTTTTAATAATTGTAGTAATTCTTAATTGCAACAAAGGATCAAAATAAAGGTTTTATTTACTACTTGAGAATTTAAAATAGCTTATCAAAAATTTTACAAAAAATATGTGTGAAAATGAAAATTTACAATAAAAAGTATGAAACTGTTTGAATAAAGCTTTATTCACTTTAATAGTTATAAATATAAGTTTTAATAAGTCAGTGCAAAAAATAAGTTTCTAGGCAAAAAGTTGAGATATCAAAATTATGCCTTGTTAGTAAAATGGAATATCATTTATTATTCTTTTGATGGTAGTCATTTAATCGATCTAATTATTGTTCTGAAAATTGTTGGTTTCGGTGATATAATATTGCAGAAAAATATATTCCTGGAAGTTAACCCATAACCAGTGTTGTAAATTCAAAATTTTTTTATACACACATATTATCTATAAAAATTATATGCGCAACCCATTACTTCATATATGCTCTAGATGCTGAAGCTAAAAAATAATAGGTGCCATTAAGAAAAATGCTATTTTACATGTTTCAATAAAATATGCAAAAGCTAAGAGTATGTATGCTGCGCGTATCCAATTTACATCACTGCCTGTAACCTGTTTTGCTAATAGATGTTTTCCCAATTTTACAATACTGTAAATTCGATAAAACGTTAGTCAGTAAAAAAAACTTAGTAATGCAACTTTCGAAAAAATAGTATGTCTAAGAAAATATACAATCAGAAAAATGGTTGTTTAGTAAAATAAGTAAACATAAAAATAGATTCGAAATATTGAGATTAATGGTTAAAATACATATCAGAAAATTGGCTTTCGATTACAGCAAATTAATGAAATACTTGAAAATTTGTTTGTTTTTCAAAACCTTTCGAATTCATCTTATGAATCATCTAACTCTTCGAAAACCACGTCACTGTCTTCGGAACTTCAATCCAAAAATTGTGATGTGATTTCTGATAAGTTAGATGATTCGTAAAACGAATTTGAAAGGTTTCAGGAAACAAGCAAAATTTTTAAGTGTTCCACTAATTTTCAAATCAGCTATAAAATGACTATCGGAAAAGTGAGATATCATGTCAGTGAAATGGTATTTCACACAAAAATGGATTTCAGGAAGTTGAACCAGAAACAAAGTAACCAAGTTTATTATTGCTTTAGCATATCACATTTTTTTGGCTTTGTTACATAACTTAGGGGCAAAAAACAAATACATTTGACATATTCTAATCTTAATTGTTATATTCAATTATTGCAAAACCTGTGATCGAGCAATGGCTGTTAAAAATATGAAAATACTAAGCAAGCAATAAAAGAAATATTTACTATTTTTTGATATCAGTAATATGCCTTGTATTATTATTTGTATTCTACCAACATGCAATTATACTAACTTTTGTAAAGTTAAGGTCATGCCAAAAGTATATAACTTGAAGATCCTTTTGCAATTGAGATTTGGTTGGCCAGTATGGCTTTGAAATGGCATCTTTATAACAAGTAAAATAAACAACCCATGTTTCATCTGCAAGTAGTTTCTTGTTGCATAGTAGTGCCCGTTCATAGTGTTTATTGAGCTCTTTTATTGTTGCTGTGGCTAAAAGTTCAAGAGCAATTGTTGGATGATTAGGTTGTGATATAACTATGTCAATATACTCATTATTTATATACCTATTAGCATTATATTTTAAGTATCATTGTCCCATTATTGTATACATATCAACATGATCTAGTAAAGTTCTGCATCATACACTGATTCTCTAGAAACTTCCTGATTATTCACATTGTTAACAAGTACACGTGCCAACTTAAAAGAGTTACAAGATTTTATTGCTTCTTGATCAAATATACGTATAACTTGTTTTAAGACTTCAAAGATATCTAAGGCACCCGAAGGATGGTATTTGACATCTACTTTAGGTAAAGTCAGAAATATATGAGAAATTATTTGCTGAAGGACTATCCAGTGCACTAAAGGTGAGGAAATCTTAAACATCCCATCATTATCCCCAAAACCAGGACTCCTTCTGCTATAAGGAACAAAGCTAGATTACTTTTTTTTCCAGTGACAAGTACAGAGTCAAAATTTGCCAGAAAATCGGATTGGAATAGTCCACTGAATTTTTATTCAAAAGGGCTTCTTTCATTCTTATAAGTGTTGGGTATTCTAAAATGGTATTTCCTAGTAAGAAGGTGGCAAAATGTTGCTATAAATTATAACTCAAGTGTAATTCTATTTCTGATAATAGTTTTCTGAATATCACACGTCTGCAAAGGCAGACAAGACCAGCATGTCTATTAAGAAAAATAGAAAATTTAAAACTATTAATAAGGATTAATCTTCATCTAGCTGCATACCTATTAGTTTGTATGTATATGTCCTCAATAACTTCCTGGTCAATTTTCAACTTATATTTATCTGTAAATTCTTTGTATATAAACTGTACTTGCTCCAAAGTAAAGTTCGAGTTCTGGAATAGTTTGTTATCATTGAATGGTGAAGTGGTTAAATTATTCAAATTTAAATACATGATACTGAAGGGTCCAATAGCAATGATGGAGCATATGGTATAGTCCTTTTTACTGGCTTTGATAACATGAAAAGTCATCAAATACGAGGTAAGAATGTCTTTTGTTGCATTATACAACATATTAAACTCATCAAACAGGATGACAGTATCTAAAAACCTCTATTGAGTTCTATAAAAAGTGTTAAGAAAATCATTTGCGGATTTGATTTGTAGGCTTTTTAGAGGGCCAAAAAGCTCAGGTGTATTACGTTGAAGTGTCATGCTGAGTGTTTGCCAGAAAAGGTCTATATTATTTATACTAACATGTTCAAAAGATGCACTATATAGGGGAAATAATAACATGATAGAAAGTTGAG